CCTCATGACCAGACGAGTAATTTGATATGAAATTTTATAAGGTTGACTGTGTTGGTGAATTTGACCACCAGTCAAAAGTGTGTTGACCTTTCAACGTTTTTGACCATAGCGCCCTCATTTAAGGTCGGAGATATAGCAAACTATACATTTTCGGAATCCTCATGACCAGAAGAGTTATTTGATATGCATATCAACACGATTTGAATACACTTGAATTTCTACCCTGTACGACCTTTGTTGACCCCTCACAAAAATGCCCGGGATTTTCAAGGGGGCAGCCCAAGTCAAAATTGTTCGGTATTGATCAGGGAACACAAAAACACTTCCAAACCTTTGTTCCCAGAGATTGGTCACGGGACCTACAGGCTGGTCTCCTACTATGACCCTACAATTTCCTGATTATACATTCTGCCGCTGTTTGGTGGGGCCAGTGGCGGATCCAGGGGGGGGGGGCCCGGGGGGCCCGGGCCCCCCCCCCCCCCCCCCTTGAGAAAAAAATCATGTAAAATCACGTGATTTTTACCTTTTTTGGGGGTTGGGCCCCCCCCTGGCGCTCAAGGGGGGGGGGGGGTGCAAATTGAAATATTTTTGAGGATCAAAAAAAAAAAAATGTGCTCACTACCCCCCCCCCCCCCCCCCCCCCCACTGAGAGAATTTTTGGCCGGCGCGTTTTTCAAATTTTCGGGAGCAAAAAAAAAATTGTGCTCTGTACCCCCCCCCCCCCCCCCCCCCCCCCCCCCCCCCCCCCCCCCCCCCATACTCAGCGACTTTTCGGCCGGCGCGATTTTCAAATTTTCGGGAACAAAAAAAAAAAAAAGTTGGGCCCCTCCCCTAAGAAATCCTGGATCCGCGCCTGGGTGGGGCCGGGTGCGGCCTTTTCAGAAGTGTTTTTTACACTAACCTTTTCAGGCACTATGGCTAAACATAAACAAGCATGCTTAAAATTTTCAAAAAATAAGCTGAATTCCGACTCAGTTTTGCACAACCTAAAAATTAGAATAAACTCAGTCACCCCCTATACTTGCGCGCGCATTTCACACGCGCATACCCCCTCCCAGTTTTTCCCTTATTCGTAGTTACTGTCACTTGTGCCATTTCCTTGTCTTTTTCGCTTTCTCTCCAGGCTTCTCTTTTCTTTTTCTTTTCTCTTTTCTCTTTTTTTCTCTTTTTCTTTTCTCTTCTTTCTTTTCTCTTCTCCTTTCTTTTCTCTTCTCCTTTCTTTTCTCTTGTCCTTTTTTTCTCTTCTCCTTTCTGTTGTTCTCTTTTTTTCTTCCTCTTCTTTCCTTCTCCTTTTTTTGTTTGCGCCGCCAATGGGGGCCGCGGCCGTTTCGGCCCCCCTGGATCCGCCACTGGTTATTGTTTACTGTGAGTGGGAAATCGCAACTTGCAACATATTTGCGATTGATATCAATCGCAACTATACATGAGAGATAGGAGGCTGCAAACTTGCGATGGATTGGAGGACTTACGATTGATTTGGATCAATCGTAAGTCTTTGTAAGACGGGGCCCTGGTATAGCAAATATCTTCTATTGTTCGTAGGCTTATTACATGGTGTATGTAAAGATTCTATATTGATGTATGTTGTTTGACCTATAAAAGCAACAACCCCAAGAACAAATACCCCGGAATATGATCCCCGGGATAATTAACCTCTAGGACAATTACACCCTTAGGAAAACAATCCCCCTGGACAATCATCCAAGGACAATCAACCCAGGATAATTACCCCCTTAGGACTTAGGAATGTATGTGAATGAGCGAAACCGTTGATTACTCAAATGTTTGTCTGTTGTTGGCAGAAACAGCAAATTAAAGGATTTTTCAGATGTACATACTTAGGGGAGATATTGTTAATAAATATTAACCCTTTAATATACAGTTTGCTTCTATACAAATATGTTACTATTTTTTTTCCTATGTTAATATCTTGAATGTGGTATCGACCACTTTTCTGCCTTGTCCGGCGGAGCAGTCATCCAGTATTTGATGATAAATTCCTTGCTTGGAGTTGTTTTTGTTTCATTCAAAATTATTCTTTGGTTTTATCGGCACACAGAAACAGTTCCCAAAAAATAAAATGTAATTAACTGTAATTTTCTTCACAATATCCCAATATCCAATATCCAATCTAATACCCCAGTCAGATATTATTAATGTTGTTTCAGGTAGAAAGGTGAACAAAGGCCCAGAATACGATGATATTAACTCTGTTGTAGTAAAGCAATCTATTCATTTAATTACAATCTCCTTTATGTCACATTTTCTTAATGTATCATTTGAACAAGGAGTTTTTCCGAATGAGCTGAAATCGGCCAAAATTATCCCAATTTACTAAAAGGTCGATAAATGCTTGTGTTCTAACTACAGACCCATATCTATTTGGTCAATGTTTTTCTAAAAAATATTTGAAAAGTTAGTTTATAACAGATTAATTCCATTTCTTGAATAATTTAACTGAAGGACAACAGTATGTTTATGTAGATCATTACAGTTCACAGCGCAAATCCCCTCCAATAGGAGTACAGCAGGGCTTCGTTTTTAATAGGTCCATTACTTTTCATATTGTATATAAATGACCTGCAGTTTCTTAGCAATATGCTTTGTGCAATTATATGTGCAAACGATACTAATTATTTATGTCTGGAAATTATATTTAATATAGAACTTGACAAAGTCAATTACTGGATTTTATTAAATAAGCCCTCAATTAATTACGAAAAAAACATGTTGTATGGTGTTAAAAACCCACAATAGAAAAATGAATACTGGTACTATACATTTAGAAATAGGTACTCATAAAGGGGCATGTGAAATTTACAAAGTTCTTAAGAGTCGTCAGTCATGATAGTTTGAACTGGAAAGAACATGTTAAAGACGTTTCATGTAAAATATCAAAAGCAATAGGTTTTTTTTAAACAAGCTAAAGATCATCCTTCCTTTGCGTATTCTTGTCAAGCTTTATCAAACAATGATTTTACCACACTTATCTTAAGCCCCGTTATAATAGAACTTTTTTGATCTCACCCGAGCGACATGTGGATGAAAAACAGGGGGGGGGGGGTCTGATTGTAAAACACGGGGTGAGCTTTTGGACACCGTCTTTAAAAATCAGCCATCCGCAAAAACCTCACCCGGGTAGGTTACCATAACAACCGCACCTCCTCCATCGCGATCAGCTGGCGCGCGCTGTGTACATGTATACATTTTTTCAGGGCGATGACGTAATTTACCCGGGTGATATTACCCGGGTAAATATCACCCTGGCTCTTCTAGGGTGAGATTTACCTCGATATTGTCCGGACGTTACCCCGATTGACGCGTCTTAATTGGAAGGGGGTAAATGCCCGCCCCCCCCCCCCCCTACTCAGTGTTTTTTAGGGTACGCATATGCTCGTTCCCTCTTTTTGAAAGCACCCCCTATCTGAGGACTGCCAACATTTCCAAACCCCCCTTTCGCGGGCTTTTCGCGGGCTTTTCCTGCCTTGGAGACCCCCCTAAATCAGGAAAAAATGCTCAATGTACCCCCCTAAATTCTGATAACTTCTCAGGAGTCCAAATAGATGAGAGTAAAAAAGGAAAAACACTCCCCTCTTTAAAGAAATCTCGGGGTGAAAAGTCAAATACACCCCTTTTTTTTACAATTCTCGGGCCGGACTTTGTCGCACGAAAAGTACCCCTTTACCGGACATTTTGGCAACACGCATGCGGTCATTCCGACCCCCTGAGTGGGGGGGGGGGGGGGTAAATGTCATCCGGACAACGTCCGGACGACACCGCGACTTTACTTTCCAGTTAAGACGGGGCTTTATTGTAATAGAGTATGGGGACATTTTGCAACCACTACATTGAACAGACCTATTTTATTACAAAAACGTGCAATACGTGTTATTACAAATTCTCATTTTTTAGCCTCGACAGATTCTCTTTTTTCAAAAACTTAACATTCTCAAAGTATCTGATATCATGTTACTCAGGTCTCAAAATTTATCTACTCTTATTTCAAGGGTGTTCTGCCAACATTATTTAATGAATATTTTAAAAGATATCAAATTCCAGTAACCTGTATGTCCTCTGTATTATTATATTACCTCAAGAACCACTGTGAAACACACCGGGCATATGCTTTGGAATTCCCTGTCTGTTGAACTTAAATCTTGCCCATCACTTAACTCTTTTAAGAGAAAACATAGAAAATATATTGTTAGCTCCTACTGTCATTTATATTGATCAACTTATATCGTGTTATAGTTTTTGTTGCAATTAGGGTGTTCGCTTATATTCTGCGTGACTTTGTTGGTTTGTAAAGTTTTTTTCTTTGCTTGCAATACCAATTAATATATTTGTAGGGTTCTGCCTCGAAAGGCCAATACCCTATGCGGTTCCCTTTCATATTTTCGTTCTACTGTAATGTACTGTTAGTATGTACATATGCTATTATTCATATCATTTATGTTTCTAATGGTAGGTTTTTAATGGAATGTGGAAAATTAATCTTGAACTTGAACTAGTAATGGTAGCAACAAGAGACAGAGACAATTAGTGCAAGTCGGTTGGATGGCAATAATGCACATTCATATGCATTTATCAGGAAATAAGGGTAATCATCTTTTCACACAGGTCCACGGTAATTGTGACGATGGGTAGTCATCAACCCAGGGGGGGGGGGTAAGCTCTAGAAGGTTTAATTGGCTAGAGGGTAATTGTATGGATGATATGTGTGCGAGGGCAATCGTGCTAGGTGGTAATTATTACCAGGGTGTAATTGCCCTATATAGGAGGTAATCGTCCAAGGAGGTGATTTTGTCCAGGGGGTAATTGCCTAGGGGGTAATTTTCCAATGCAAGTTGACCGGGGATGATTATGGAGGGGGGGGGGATTGTCGTAGAACCATATTTTTGTTTATAGTGTATCATTATTTTAAATTATTGTTGATGATTCATATTCGTAATGAATAAACTAGGAAATGATCTTGTGACATTTTTGTTTATTTGTTGACTTTAATCCTTACTGTCAGCATTAAAAGCCAACGCAATGGGATATGAGAGGCCAGAGTTGACAATGACGTATCTGTCCCCGCCATCAAGATTGGCCCTTTCGATTCGACGTGGGGTACTCCTGTGTGTCCAAAACATCAATCTGTATGAGGGTGGAGAATAATAATAATGATAATGATAATATTAATAATATTATACTCCTTCTACAACAACTACAACAAGTACTTCTACTACTACATGTACTATTACTACTACTCCACTACTACTACTGCTTCTACTACTACTTTAATACTACTACTACTACTTCTTATACTACTACTACTACTACTACTACTACTACTACTACTACTACTACTACTTCTATTACTACTACTACTAATACTACTACCACTACTACTACTACTACTACTACTACTACTACTACTACTACTACTACTACAACTACTACTTGTTTACAAAGGGAAGCCTCAGCAGCTCAAATTCCGTTCTTTATGAGGGCCCTGTAATTGACAGCAAATGTGGAATAATGACTTGCCAGAGGCTGTTAGTACAGGGTTCGAATTCGAACCCTCAATTATTGGATTGAGATTTAAGTGAGTTGAACTACTAAATCACAACACCTGATACTCTTTATATCTCCGTGGAAATTCGTAGAAAGAGATGATTGAATAAAGAAAGTTGAAAGAGTAAGACAAAGGGGGAATGCATGAACAATTGAAACATTCTTGGGCAAATCAACCCGTACCAGTACAACGTTTTTATCATTACAGGCATAGGAAGTGTCCGAAAACCCCAAACATTTGACACATTGACTTTTCTTCTTGGAATATGCAGAGAGTAGATGGAGTCACTAAACATTTGAAAGAAAATAGAGCTCAACATAGACTAGTATAATGTGGTGATCGCTTTATCACTTATCTGTTGAGCCACAGTGAAATTACTTAAGATATCAGCCAAGTCGGCTTACCTTTTCCGAATTCGTTCATTTACAATTCATGTAAATACTCCTGTTTGAAGCCGGAAGAGCATTAAATGAGAAATTTACTCAAAATTAACGCCCTTCTAGCTGAGTTAAAGATTGACAGATGGCGATAAAGAAAGTGAAACAAAGGGATAGAGAGAGAGGGAGAGAGAGAGAGAGAGAGAGAAATTGGGAGAGAGAAATGGAAACAAGGGGATAAAAAGAGAGAGAGAGAGGAAAAAAAATGGGAGAGAGAAAGGGAAACAAATGGATAAAGAGAGGAAGAGAGAGAGAGAGAGAGAGAGAGATTGGGGGAGAGAAATGGAAACAAGGGGATAAAAAAAGAGAGAGAGAGAGAACAAAAATTGGGAGAGAGAAAGGGAAATAAAGGGATAAAGAGAGAAAGAGAGAGGGAAAGAGATTGGGAGAGAGAAGGGGATCCAAAGAGATAAAGGGAGAGATTGGGAGAGAAAAAGGGAAAGAAAGCGATAAAGATAGAGAGAGATATATAGGCCTATATATATATATATATATATATATATATTGGGAAAGAGAAAAATAGAGGGGTGTGTGTGTGTGTGTGTGTGCCAGAGAGAGAGAGAGAGAGAGGGTGAGATAGAGAGAGAGAGAGAGAGAGAGAGAGAGAGAGGGAAAGAGAGAGAGAGAGAGAGAGAGAGTGAGTTTGTGTGTGTAAGTGTATATATATGTTTTTGTGTGTCTGAGGGGTTACAAAATACATATATTTACCCTTCTCCTTTGTGTATAATGATTGCGAATGGAGTATTCAAGTCGGTATTGATGAGAATTTGCTGAGAGGATCCGTCGAGGTTAGCCGACATTATTCGGTTGAGGGTTACATCGGTCCAAAAGACTTTACCACGACTCGTATCCAACGCAATGTAGTATGGGTCTGTGAAAGAAAACAATGACATGGTGACATTCAGGGATGACAATGATAAGAAGGAGGGGAAGAAACAAGAACAAAGATGAAGAAGAGGACGATGGTTATGAAGCAGATGAGAGGAAGGATCAAGTCGAAGAGATAAAGAGTACAAAGAAGGCGAAGTTGAAGATGGAAAAGAAGACGAAGAAGGTAAAAGAATAAAGAGAAAAAGTTATAAAAGATCATCAAAAGCAAGAACATCAGCAGCATCGAAAAAGAGAAACAAACTGTAAACAACAAGAAGAAAAGGCGAAGTAGAAGGTCAAGCAAGCAAAGAAGTAAAAAATTACAAGGGAAAAGTAAAAGGAAAGAAAAAGGAGTAATAGAAGTCAATGCGGAAAGAAGAAGAACCAACAAAATGAAATATACTAAACTAAAACTAAACAAGACTTAACAACAACAAAACACACAAAACGGCGAATTGTCATATTATTAAAACAACCGTTATTATTTCTTATAAAGAATTTAAAAATTGAAATGAAATTCATCTGAAATCTTAAAAAAGGAAAGAAAAATCGTAGCTCAGGAATACTCACTGCCGACACTACTTCTATCGACGATCACGCTTTGCATAGTGCCATCGATATTCCCGCGTCGTATGGGTCCTGACACTTCGGCCCAGTACACCATGCGAGTATCGGGATCGTAATCGATGCCTATTGGGTAACGGACGGAACTGAAGGGCAAAGCATCGAAGGTCAAAGAGTCGAGACTGTCGCTGGAAAAGTCGGCCATGAATATTGCATGTCCTACATAGTCAGCTACAAATACCATCGACTCCGCTGTACATGTGAGAAAAAGTTTATTGTACAGCATATACAGTTTAAAATGACATTGAAGATTTTCTAAATAACAGGGTCGTGCCTTATTGATTGATTGTTTCACTTATTTTAAACACGGTTAAAATCCCGTTCGGCATAAATAGTTGCGCTTGATCGGGATTGAAGTCCTTAAATCAAAATCCTATATCTTGGTACAAAGTTGCGAAGTTACGATCAATTTGAATCAATGACACGTGTTCATTTGACGGGGTCCCCGTCATTTCCACATATGAGTTCAAAAAGGACAAGTAAACAAGATATTCGAAAAGTAAAGTAATCATTTAAGAAAAACAAACAAACAGGTAACGTTATTGTAAACACAGAATTTAAACAGATTTTTTTTTTATGGAGAAGAACTCATACAAAAATGTTCTAAAAATTGGTTATTGAAATAACAGTCCTAGACCAATCTCTACATGTCCTAAACGGCAAAAGCGTTCTCCATTGGAACCTTTGTAGATGGCTTTTTATACCCCTATCTTACTATAAAGGCGATCTGTGAAAATTTCGTTGAGCGTGGCAGAATTTTCATCCAACCCCACTTTTAGCCTGTAAGGCGACTATACAACAACTCAGTTGAGAACTACCTGCGCTGAATGCGATGGCGATACGATGAAATTACGACGCTGCCACTTTCTCGCCCTATTTCGAGGCCGATGAGACGCACTGATTCTGCAATCAAAGCGGTCGTAATACGAGGCTCATGCGCTTATTAAAACCTCTCTTCAGTGATGCTGCGAGCGGGCGAATGTAATAGGTTCATACTGGGCTTCTGCGTCGATTTTATGACATCGGTATATAAATCGGGGCATCATAATATGATATATTATATAATACTTTCATCCTTTTTTGTGTGCAGTTATAACACATGCGTGCTCTCACATAATGTTAATACAGTTTTTTGGATATCTTTCAAAAAACAGATTACAAAGAAGGGGGAATAGCCAAATTGAATTAAAGAAACTTTTTGTCTATAATAAACATGATATTGTTATAATAACCAAACCAACAAAAAATAATAACAATAAAAAAGAAACAAAAAGGAAGAAAAAAAAGTTATAATATTTTTCTTTTCCAAAATTCAAGCCCACCCCCCAAAAAAAAAATCAGTCGAGTGCCAGCTTGCGACCAAGATGGATGTAATATCTCCTGAGCATGTGATAAAGTGCCTCCATAGCCTTTCAAAGCAGCACGGATGGCGGTTGCAATCAGCAACAGTGCAGCAGAAGTGCAGCGCGAACGCCTAAATCGGGGCGAGAGCTAGCAAATGGCCATCCGGAAAAATGGTAGCGTCTTGCGGATGTGGTTTGAAGTTTGTCGTGCATGAGGTGATCGCGTTTTTAACAAAGTAGTATTCTATAATTGTCTCGGGAACAGGCATGAATCGGGGCCGCTGTCAATGCCCATGTAATACGCTTCATGAGCTCCTGCAACGTCGAGCTATAAAGCAGAATCGTCTTCTAGTGAGATGGGGGTATTCGGGAATTCGCAATCGAACTTTCCTCATTTTCAATGCCTTGCGCATTATGATTAAGCTTGTTTAAGTCTTTCGAAGATTTTATCGTAGAATAAGCGTATCAGGACAATTACCCCAATGAACAATCATCCCCGAAAATAAGCCCCCGGAAAACTACCCCCAAGGACAATAACCCCCTGGAAAAGTAACCCCCGGAAAATTAACCCCCGGAAAATTACCCCCCCCCCCCCCCAAGGACAACCCCGGACAATTATCCCCGAAAAATTACCCAATGGACAATAAACCCCGTGGACAGTTTCCCCCGACGACAACTACCCTCACCCCTGAAAATAACATCCTGGGACGATTCCCCCCTACCATAGGACAACCCAGGCCAACCTTTCCCCGAGAATAATACCCCCGGAAAATTACCCCCCCCCCCCAAGGACAACCCCCCGGACAATTATCCCCGAAAAATTACCCAATGGACAATAAACCCCGTGGACAGTTTCCCCCGACGACAACTACCCTCACCCCTGAAAATAACATCCTGGGACGATTCCCCCTACCATAGGACAACCCAGGCCAACCTTTCCCTGAGAATAATACCCCCCGAAAATTAACCCCCCTGTTCATTGAAGATACTTTGTCCCTTTTTCAGCCAACATCAAATTCTGTAGAACTTTGCAGGAATTATGAATATGTCATATGTCCTATTTATGAGATTTAAACGTTAGCAGTGTCCTAATATTCAAATTATGCAAGGCACTATTGAGTGACTGACTTGCTTTAAAAAAAAATCTTTGGTAATAACATACATAAAATGAGCTGTAAAGGGTACATAAGCATTTGTCTACATCAATAACCCACTTCTTGTGATGGCAAAAATTAAACTGATTGAATATTAGCGCAGCATAAAACGTACGACCATTCGGTACAATGGTAAAAAAAATCAGACATAGTAACATAGTAATAAAGATGCTACATAAAACCCAAGACCGAGATTTCAATTATATTGAATGCATCTCATGCAGGGTTAAACAATTACAATACACAATAACAATTAATTTGGGAGCTTTTTTTTTTTTCTTATTTTTTAATTTTGTTTTCAAATCTTAATTTAATGAAGAAAACAATATTTTAAATCTTTTTAGACAAAAATTGACATTTTTTTGTTCTAAATTTTTTTTCTTCCCCAAAATTTGTTTTTGATATTTTTTTTTATTTTTATAAAATAATTTGTTGATGCAGTATATAAAACAAATATACCATGCCTTCTATTTGAGGTACTGGTTAAAACTATGGGTCTCGGTGACTCCAAAAGTACCATTTGCTTCGAGGCTGCGCCCCTCAGCAAATAGTACTATTGGAGTCACCTCTTGCGCATAGTTTTAACCAGAACCTCTCAGGACAGTGTATATTTGCATAATATACCGTGGTCACAACCACGGGAACCTATCTCCATAGAGAGAGAGAGAGAGAGACGGTTATAGAGAGCGAGAGAGAGAGAGAGGGAGGTCCCGTTATAACAAGTTATATACGTCTCCTAATCTAAAGTAATTACACCTCCAAGTGTTGTAGTGATTCCAAGTGAGTTCAGATAGGCTTTAACAAATAACATAAACCCACATAATATTCTTTCAAATATTACTTTTCCCAATCACTTATACCTCACCTTACATTTAGGTATCGTCATCATATCTATCAATCTATTCTTAGTAGTATGCGTAATACACTACGAAAACCTATCACCATAGAGAAGGGGGAGATAGATAGAGAGAGAGGGGAAGAGAGAGAGAGAAAGAAAGAGAGAGAAAGAAAGAGAGAGAGCGAAAGAGAGAGAGAAAGAGAGAGAGAGAGAAAGAGAGAGAGAGAGAGAGAGAGAGAAGAGAGAGAGAGAGAAAGAGAGAGAGAGAGAGAGAGAAAAGAGAGAGAGAGAGAGAGGTCTCGCTATTGCAAGTCATACTAGATAAACAAATTACACTCCCAAGTAATGTTGTGAATGCCAGGTGCGTTCCGACCGGCTGTAAAAATAACATATACGACCCAAACAGTACGGTTTTCAAGATTTCATTTCTCAGTTGTGGATACCTTACTTTGCATTTACATGTTTTCAACATATCTATAAGTCTTTTCTTATCGGGAGTTATCAGACCTGGGGGAGAATGTCAGAAGGTTTAGGGAAAGGATCGTCCATAAGGTGTTTATCTCGAATAACAAAAGAAAAATCAAAGGTTAGGAAACCCAAATGCAAGAAAGAACAAATATGACGATTATTATCAAATAAATTGACAGCAGACTTTCATAAAAAACGATAACATCCCAAATAAACTTTATCCATTTTGTATCACTCAATGAGAAGGTAACCTTAAACAAGGGATGCGAATTTCGTCAAGATTGTAATCATCGTCAAGCGTATAATCATCATAACGAAGAGAATATCATATATTTTGCTTTAAATATTAAAACATTTACCTGAGTTTGAATTTATATCAACATTTTTTTTAATCAACTGCCTAATAGTCAATGTAAATAATTGAGCAATTGTTTTGGAATGAGATAACACACATAATGAAATTTGACCCACATTCATTGCTTCAGCCCGACCTTGGTACAAGAGGATTTTGAAAATAATTTTTGAAAAATCTGCTGTTCAGTCATCCTTGGCACCATACTTATGAAAGTGGTATCTTTAGACAGGGTATTAGTTTTTACCTTATAATAACATAATGATTCAACACAGGTTGTAACATTTTAATTAAAAGCTACCAAAGTTGGGTACACTTTTGTATACGCACTGTATAGGACCATGTTGTTATTATTATTATTATTATTATCCTCATCATATATATTGTTCTTCTTCTTAATAACTATCATAATGAGCTACAGCAGCAGAGCATAGTGTTGTTGTTATCATTAGTATTAACAATATTATTGATACTAGTAAGTTCCCCCCAAGCAAGAGTATAATATTATGTGTAGAATAACATACTTGTTATGTAACACGTATCAGGCACACTTGTAACTATTGATAGGGGTGAAGTAGTGGGAGAAAGACAGGTAGAGAAAGCGAGAGAGAGAGAGAGAGAGAGAGAGAGAAATAGAGAGGGAGAGATAAGGAGGGAGATAGTGTGAGCAATAGGATGAGGGGAGACAATTAAACACAATTAGAATCATCGTGTTAAAGATTAAAATTTATCAAATTAATGCCAATAATATTGAAGGAAGCAGTTCATATCAAATCGAATCAAGACATATATTTCCCACTGTAAAACAACACAAATAAATATCAATGACAAATAATTGTAAACAAAAGGGGTGGGATCATAGAAAGTATAAGAAAAGTTGTTAAAAATAATCCCTAATAGACTTTCTCGCCTGTGTATAATAAAAATCATATTGTAAAGCGATCCTCATTGAGTGAATAAGGAGGATAAAGCTTTGCTTATAATATTGAATGCATCTTTCTTAGTTGAACCTTTAACGCATTTATATTCATGCCTTG